ACATCAGTTTGAAAAGTCCTTATCAGGGCAAGATGAGGTTTGGTAAAATAATAACCAGCATCAGAGAAATAATGATCTCATTGATGCATTATAAGGTTTTGGGGGATAATGTCACAAAGATATCAGCAGTTTTCAAATGTAAAACTTTTTTTGAAGCTTGGCTTTCTTAAGATTTATTGGAAATGTAGATATATAGAGATGGAGAGACAGAGAGAAAGATCTTCCATCCACTGGTTCACTCCCCAAGTGATTACAGTGGCCGAAGCTGAGCCAATGTGAAGCCAGGAGCCAAGAGCTTCTTCCAGGTCTCCCACACGGGTGCAGAGTCCCAAGGCGTTGGGCCGTCCTCAACTGCTTTCCCAGGCCACAAGCAGGAAGCAGGAAGGGAATTGGAGTAGCCAGAGTATGAACCAGCACCCATATGAGATCCCAGCAGTTGCAAGATAAAGATTTAGCTGCTTGGCTATCACACCGGAGTCTTAAGATTTATATTTTTGTTTGAAAGGTAGATCAATAGAGAGAAGGAAAGAGAGAAAGGTTTTTCATCTGCTGGTTCACTCCCCAAATGGTTGCAAAATCCAGAGCTTAGCCAATCCAAAGCCAGGAGCTTGTTCTGGGTCTCCCATGCAGGTGCAGGGTCCCAAGACTGGGCTGTCCTTGACTGCCTTCCCAGGCCACAAACAGGGAGCTAGATGGGAAGCAGGACATGAACCAGTGCCCATATAGGACCCAAGGTATGCAAGGTGAGGAATTTAGCCACTAGGCTACCACACCAGGCACTGTCTTTTACTCTTTATAGATAGATCATCACTTACAAAGTAGTCTTGAACTTAATGGCATTTATGTTGAGAAATAAAGTCTATTTTTAAAATCTCTTCATTTCACTTTCCATACACTTCCTGAAGCCCCTTTTATGTTTCTACAAAGACATATCCCCAAAAGTTCATAAGCAGCTTCATTTCCAACAGTCCAAAATTTGGAAACACCCCAAATATCCAACAGCAGATTATAGATAACAAATTAAGGCAAATATATACAATGGAATTCTACTCTACAATAAAAAAGAATCAGCTGAATCAAAAAATGACTGAGTAGAAGGAACCAGAAAAAAAGCAGAGAGAAATGCTGTAAAGGGCACGAGTAATCTTCTGAGCATAATGAATATACATATTGACTGTTATGATGACTTAATGGTACATATATATGCCAAAAATATCAAATTGTCCACTTTAAATATGTGCAGTTGACTGTATGTAAATGATATCTCAACAAGGATAAGGCTTATGGGATATGTATCTCCCATCTCCCGATTCCTTGTTCATCATGATTCCCAGCACACAGTGTCTCCACCAGCACCTGGGGATAAGAGCTGCTCTTCCCCACCCAGACAATTCTGCAAGTATCCTAGAGTTAATGAAACTCAATGAGTGTTTCTGTTTCTACATACCCATTTTATAAGGCTTCAACCATTCTATTACAAATTCACTTTATTCAATGACAGTCGGAACATTCCTTAAGACAGTTTTGTCTGAATCTTGTTCTTAAGTTTATCTACCCATTAGCAGCGAGAACACAGTATAATAATCATACTAATAGTCACTAAAATAAACAGGTGAAGCACTCAAACGTATAAACCTTTTATTTAAAATTGGAGAATCAAAACAAACTAAATAAGTATAAAATATTAAGCCTTCATAAAACATACCATACCCACGTCAAATCATCTACTTTTTCCACAACAAAATTAAAGACAAATCTGTAATGAAATTTACTTTTACATTTTTATTGACAACATTAAGACTATTACAAAACACTCAAATGAACTTGAAAATGAACAAAACCATTACAGAACAATTCCTGCTATTCACGAAAACCAATAAAGGAATCCAGACTCACTTAATTTTAAAGAAAACTATTTCTCATAGCAGCTGTGAGGACTGTTAACTCGACTTTTAATTTTAATATGGCACATTGGCTTAATCTGTGACAGCAATATCAAAAGTTTACAGTGTTTCTCACAGGCCTTTTCTACTTCAGTTTGTGAATGAGGGTATCATACATTTAGGATTTTAAACATTGCAGTATGATAAATATCTTCTAATAAAAAATGTGGCAAAAATATATATTAAACATTAAGTCCTTTTTCTAATCTTGAATGGGGAATTTATCAGCACATTCATTTTTTATTATGTCCAAATTGTACAGGGGAAGGGAAGAAGGGCTAAATTTTATATTATTAATGTTATAAATCCAATTCTAACATTTTGCAGAAAAAAAGTATAAAAGGAGACAATGTAATATCCTAAGCTCCATTTTCCTCAAAATGTTGATTAAAAGTGAAACTAGACTTGTCCTACATGGATAAAAGGAAAATAAATTATGGTATGTTAAATTTTAAAATATTCCAAAAGAAATGAAAGCACACACTCAAGAATGGCACCCATATTACCCAAAATAAAATTATTTACATATATACAAATAATTGTGCGGCTAAGTAAATGAGCATTTTCCTAAACCATGCATATTGTGAGGTCTCTTATAATTAAACTTATAAAACCAAACTAAGTTATGTACTATCAACTCTCATGGTTAGAACTTCACTCGTCACAGGAAGAGTTAAACATTTATCTTTTGCCTTCTAAAACTGAAGATAAAATATAATGAAACTCAGAATCTTACTAAAACATTTTACTTGTCTCTGCAGCCTGTCATACTGCCTTCATCAACTAAATGAACTCTAAGATGCAGTTATTTTTCTCCATAAGAATTATTTTTGCTATTGCTCTTTAAAGCCATTTTAATAGCACCTAATTTCCTGAAAAGATTCACTCAGGACTCTGAAAAGTTTTTCTGTGAACACCTCTATTTGGTGCAGGATTATACTTCTTAGAGGGGCACTGAGTCACTTAAGTGTAAAGGCTCATGCAGAGGGTAGAACATCATTTTGGAATACAAGTACAAGTTTTCATAGTTTATTTACCACTAACTTAAGTAAATCAATTAACTTCTCTTGATTTGGCTTCATCTTTTTAAACAGATTAGATTATTTCCCTAAGTTTTTTTCTACCTATCACATGGTATGATTTTGTGCCTCTGCATGAATTTCTTATTGATAAACTGTATCTTCCATAAATTAAGAAAACAGATAAGATTTGAAATGGCACAGCTGAACTAAACTTCTCCCTGTTAGAAAAACACAAAGACCATGTTCAAAATTCAGCTTCCCAAACCACCTCTCCCTAATCCAGAGGAATCAACAGCCCAGAGTTAAAACCAGAAATCCTAGGTATATAAATTACTTTGAAATTACAGTGTAAATTCATCAAAATATATTAAGTCTATGTCACGGCTTTCCTACAAAGATTTACATTATTTTCATTCTGTCTACATTCAAAATAATCTGCACAGTTAAGAGAGGCAGTTACTTGATATTCTTACATTTGTTTTCCTACAAAGATTTACATTATTTTCGCTGTATCTACACTTAAGATAATCTGCACAGTGAAGAGGGGGTTACTTAATATTCTTACATTTTGAAACACTAGTAAAACTTAAACATACATGAGGAACAGAATTTTAATAACTCATTCATGTTTTGCCAAATTTTTGACAGTATGCTTAACCCTGTTTTTGACTTAGAAAACAAGGCAAAGGTAAAAGGAAATCCTAATAACATGCTGATGAGCAAATGAATTTTGTCATGTTTTGGCATTACTTTAAAAAAAGAGAGGAAAGGAAAGGTGTTAGCAGAAATTTATTTAGGTAATACTGAACCAGACATTTCAACAGTTTTCATGAAAAAATTATTATGAAGTATTATTTTGGTACTAGTGCAGTGCAAATTGGTTTGTCTTTGTTTAACTACAGGCAGCAAATGAGGCACTTAACTGTAAAATAGAAAAATAGGGTATTCAAAATCATTCACAAAAGATATTAGCAGTATTCAAAAAATTTAAAAATTCAGTTTTAATTTAACATGCATTCAGTGTTATACGTACTTCACTGGAGAAAATACTTTTAAAGGTAAAACTGTTGTTTTGTTTGTAAGAGACAGAAAACATTCCCTTTTCATGGAATTCTAGATTTCTGAGAATGAAATCCAAGTCTTTTGACCTGAGTGCTGCATATTCATAAACCAAGAAAAACACACCTTATCATACTGGAGAAAGGTTTATAACTATCAGTGAAGTATACCACGTAATCCTCAACTTTATCCTAAAGGATCAGAAGTTTTTATGTTTTATGACTTCACCGAGAGGGATCTAATGATTATAACAGAATAATAAAAACTTATTTAGCACCTAAATTTGGAGAACACTGAAGTATTGCTACAGTTTTAAATAGCTATATATCCATAGGTTAGGGAAAATCAGGTCTGATTTATTCAATGACATTATAACACATTATAACATTCTCAAAGATCAAAATGCCAACCTACAAAAGTTATCTTTGATTTACAAGCACCTTCACCTAAAACATTCAAACACAATCTATTTTTTTTAAGTTACACATTCTTTTTTAACAAGAAAAGTGTGGTTTATTTTTCTCTTCACTACAATCAAATTGCCTTTCAAATGTGGCACTATTTCAGAGAGTTAAACACAAAACAATTCTTTAAGCAAAAAGTCACTAATATTCTACCACATATAATATTGTAAATATTCTCTCTTGTGAGGCACAGGTCAAAAGAGAAGTGACTGATCTCGGACCCTCTGCTGAAATATTATAAGCAGGAACTGAGAAGATGAGCTTGCGTTAGTTTTTGACCATATATTGGCACATAAATGCTTATCTGTAGGGTAAAAGAGCATTGATAAAAAAGATAATTGTTACACCAGGAGATCATTCTAGCAAATGCAATATAAATGACTCCTTTCTTTTTATCAAAGACAAATGTGCTTTTGTTGCCTAAATAAGCTTGATTATAATGCTGGATGGAGCATTTTATTTTAAATGTTAAAACTAATGTACAACATTAAGTTTTTTATGAACCAATTTAGTCGTCTCCACTGAGGAACCCTTACCTTTTCTTCCTAAATTTGGTTAAAAGACTTTCTTTCCCTCAGAAAGGAAAAAAAAAAGGCTTTATAAAAACATATTCTCATGCTATGGAAATGGGCAAATTTCAGTAGTTCACAATCCTCTTCTTGTTTGTATTCACTTTAACACATGCACTCCTTGCTACATAATTAATCCCCTCAGATTTAAAAAAAATCAAAATCCTCTTACACCGTTCATTTTTCTATTCTCTTTCAAATAATTGATTTTATTCTTGAAAGGAAATAAGCACATGAAAAGACATAGGAACACTGATACAACTATTAAGAAATAAAGTGCATATAGCTTTAAATATAAATATTGTTTGGTATGTTACAGCCAAGTAAAAAGCTAGCAAAATCAAAACAAGACTCAGCTCACTACCTAGAATCTGAAAAATATGGGACAAGAATATAAATTCAATATAAATAGTAACAAAGTTGGGAGAAGTATTACCTTTCAAAAAAAAAAAGAGTAACTAAAATGCTCTTACAGTTAAGGGCATTTCTGCTTCCCAAGAAACCAGGCATGCTAAACTGTAGCACCAACATGCAAAGCCTGAAATGCAGAATCACATTCTGGCTGCTGCCCTTGAACTTCTGCGTTTGATTCACAATTCTCTGGTGTCTGACTGATTTCACCTCGTACAGTAGGAGACAGCCGGTGAGCCCCGTGTTCAGAAGCACTGTCAGACAAGGGATCTAACTTTTCCTGAGAATAAGCAATGTGAAGCTTCCTATCTCTCACGTCTTCCTCACCATTTGTCCTCTCATCAGCTTCTTCCAGTTGCTGAACTGAAGTTAAATACTCTTCAAGCAGACTATTATCCTGCTCGTCGTTTGAGTTCTCCTTATTCCATTCACCATGTTCTTCACTGCCATTCTCTAAGTCTGATTCTTTGCCATATTTGACTGTGTCAATGGACTTTTCCATTATGGAACTTTCACTGCCTTCTGTGGAACTTTTTTCAAAATCCAAAGAATTCTGTAAACATTGCACTTGTTCTGTTAAAGAAGAATGAAAACCAGAGTCTGGAAATTCTAGTAAAGACTTCTCTTGTGGAATTTCATTAGAAGCAATGAGGCAATCAGAATTTTGATCACAAGATGGCTCCTGCCTTTGCGTGGGTAATGGAGATTTAGATGGCACGAGGGTACTGGAGATAGGAGGTATATCCACATGACAGGAATTTAGATACTGGTCCACTGTCTGTTGCCAAACTTGCAGAGATCTTACCTGTAGGTCAGGGGATACAGTTTCATTATAAAATAAAAACCATAGCTGTCTTACAAATGTCCCCAGAAGTCATGAAGTTGGTAAACGGCAGGACTGGAGTTAGGAACTTCAAGACTCCCGTTATGCTTTCCAGGGTGGTGTGCCCTAAACCAGTGTGGTGGTATGCACCCTTGGTAACAGAAAGCCCTCTCACAAGAGTGGGGAAGGGTCAAAGCAGTTCTCCTGCTTGTAGTAGAAAAAACAATCCAAAGTACAAACAGACATGTCTAGCTAACTACAGGGTCAATTCTATGCTCAGCACACAATGAAGTCTATTCGATTAGACAGATTAGTTTATTAATATAGATATGTCCTGTAAAAATAAGTCTCATTTTAAAGACATTCATGTAGAGATAAGTTTTCAAGAATGATCTAATATGCTATACAACTATGTATAATATCTAAAAATATCTCATTCATATTAATATATTTATATTTTCTAAGTATAACAAATTTATCAAAAATTAACTGTAAATAAGAAAGCAACGTACAGGATTTTTAGTTTCCAACTGATCATTATCCAAGATAATCCCTGACAGCAGTTTGATATGTAGCCTTCTAAACTCCTTTCTACGTATTTTCAAATACATTGAGTGTTTAAAATCAAGCATCCTGGTGTTTTTTCATTAGGCAGTGTAATTTTGGAGATCTTTCCATGTTGATCTACACTCTAACATTATTTTTAACTGCTCCCTACTGCTATCATTCTATAACTTACCATTTTCCTACTAACAATAATTACAAAATCTTAAAAATCCAACAGTTTTTAACTTTATAGGTTAAATCCTATTATAACAAATTCCTCAATAAAAATGTTTCCATGGGTGGGTGTTTGGCAAGAACACTAGGTATACTTGCATCCCCTATTGGAGTTCCAGCTTCCTGCTGGTATTCTGCTTTGGAAGCAGCAGGCGATGGTTCCAGTACGTCAGGCTCTGCCGTGTGGGAGACCCAGGTTGAGTTCTAGACTCCTAGCTTTAGCCTGAACCAACTCCAGCTTTTGGCAGGTATTTGGGGAGTGAATCAGTAGATAGAAGATCGCTCTTTATGTCTGTCCTTTAAACAAATGAAAATAAGTATATAAAAATTTTAGGCTACACCTCCAAGAGGTGATTGTTTGCTAGCAATTAAAATGCCTTTTGGGATGTCTGTATCCTGTTTCAAAATGCCTGGCTTCAGGTCTTGGTTCTACTTCCGATTCAGCTTCCTACTGTATATCCTGCGAGGCTACAAGCTCTGGCTCAAGTCCTTGAGTGATTGCCATCTAAGAAACATGAGCTGAATTCCAGGATTCCATCTAACACAGCCCCATCTATTGCAGACATCTGGGGAAAGAATGAGCAGATGGAACATGTCTGTGCTTCTTTCTCAAATACATAGATAAAAATTTTAAATATAAATGCCCACTAAACTATCATTATGAAGTGTCTGATATAATTCTAATAAAAGCCAATCACCTAAACTGTCCCTAAAGTACTGTATCAAACTTATTCTCCTAAGTAGTCATGCAATTTTTAGGACTTAAATATTGTGTTATCACATATCACATTAGTCACTTTTCATCCAGACTTCCCAAAAAAGATAGTTACATAAACTTAAAAATTGGATTTTTAACATTTATTTGAAAGTCATGGTAACATTTTTCTTTTTTTTAATTTATATTTTTAATTTTGAATTTTATGACACAATCTGGGATATTTCCACAAATTCTCACCCCCTGACTCATTTTCCCCATATTGCACAGTAACATCTTTCAATTAAACCATTTTCCAATATCCACAATATTGAGAAAGGTGCTTTAATATACTCAGCTACTCTGTGATTATCTCAATGAGACTGAAATTTTTCTTTGTTTGTAATTAGGTAAATCAACAGGATTAAGTTTACCTGATTCCAAAGGAATTTAACAGCTTCTTCTTGTACAATGTTTTTAACACGTTCTTCATCTCTTTCTTTTCTTAACCTAAAATAATTCAAAATGTATTACTGACTGACAAGGAAAAGTGATTTGACCTACAATTCCTGCTTAAACTACCTAATGCAGATATGGGGGAAAGATTCATAATCTTAGAACAGTTCTTTTGTTTTTAGACTGCATTTAAAGTAAGATCTGAGTTTTAAATGATGACTCAAAACAAAGCCAAATGAGATACAGCTGAAATTCATATATTATTTCTACAATGTATTATCAGTGACAGAGATGAAAATAATATTAAAATGCCTTCAATTTCCTGGTCAAAAACACAAAAGGGGCAGGAAGCACAGAACGATGTAGTGAGTCAAGGCCTTCTGAATAGTTAAGGATTAAACTTGAATTAAGTACTCAGAATCACAGCTTGAGACATCTCTTTTAAGAGTCTAGCAAGACCAATCCCATCAAACCTTGCTTCTCTTTTTGTTACAGTCCTTGATCACTCCCTGCTATATACAGAATTCAACATCCACCACTCTCCCACATTCATTAAAATCTTAGTTCCACGTCCATGCCATGATCTCCACACCTACGCCTATGAGAAACATAAGCCTCCTATTTTCTTTCTTTCTTTTTTTTTTTTTAAGATTTATTTGTTTGAAAGGCAGAATAAGAGAGTAAGAGAGAAATGTGGGTATGTGTGTGAAAGAAAGAATCATCAGTAGACTGGTTCACTTTCCAAATGGCCACAGTGACTTGGCCAAAGCCAGGAATCTCTAATTCCATCCAGGTCTCCCACGTGGGTGGCAGAAGTCCAAGCATTTGGGCCATCTTCTGTCGATTTCCCAGGCGCATTAGCAGGGAGCTGGGTCAGAAGTGGAGCACCTTATTGCCAATGAAAACAAAGATGGTCCAAAAGCTTGGGATCCTGCACCCATGTGGCAGACCCAGAAGCACCTGGCTGTGGAGCAGCTCAGCTCCAGCTGTTGTGGCCACTTGGGGAGTGAACCAGTGGATGGAAGATCTTTCTTCTCTCCTTTTCTCTGTAAAACCAATTCTCTGCCATTTAAATAAAAATAAATAAATTTCAAACAAGAAAGAAAGAAAAGAAAAGCAGCCAGACTTAAACTGGTAACTCACTCGTGCTGGATGCTGGCAATGCAAGCAACAGCTTACCCCAGTAAGCCCCAACAGGTTCCTTTAGTGAGTGATCCATTATCACCCAGTCTACCACCACTACTTTATACTTAACTATTTTATACCACTACTTTATACTTAATTCCTGACTCAATTCTCTACTTTCCTTAGCCTCCCCAAACTTTCTCCTGTGCCATCTGGAACTCCCACAGTGATTTTTAAGAGCAAATTTAGTGACAGGGGAAGTTGAAGTACAGCTCCCTGCTAATGTGCCTGCTCAACATTTAGTGCACTACTGCAGCTATGTACCAGTTGCTCTGCTGAGGATGGTGATATATAATCTTCACCTTCAAAATGTTTTTAGGGTGCCAGCATTGTGGTATGCTTGGTTAAACTGCCACCTGCAATCCCAGCATCCTATATGGGCACTAGTTTGAATCCTGGCTGTTCCACTTCTGATTTAGTTATCTGCTAATATGCCTGGGAAAGCAGCAGAAGTTGGCTCCTGCCACCCATATGGGATATTCAAATAGAGTTCAGATTCTTGGGTTCAGTTTAGCCCAGCACTGACTGTTGCAAACATCTGAAGATTGAAACAGGGCTTGTCATGGTAGCCTAGTGCTACAGTCGTTGCCTTGCATGCACCAGGATCCCATATGGGTGCTAGTTCATGTCCCAGCTGCTCCACTTCCCATCCAGCTTCCTGTTTGTGGCCTATGAAAGCAGTAGAGGATGGCCCAAGGCTGTGGGACCCTGCACTCGCATGGGAGATCCTGAGAGGGCCCCTGACTTCAGATCAGCTTTCAGTCAATGTGCCTAAGGAAAGCAGAACACAACCCATGTGTTGTGCCCCTGCACCCACATGGAAAAGCTGGAAGAAGCTCCTGGCTCCTGGATTTGGACCAGCCCACCTCTGGCCATTGTGACCATATAGGGGAGGGAATCAGCAAATGGAAGTTCTCTCTCCCTCTCTGTGTAACTCTGCCTTCAAATAACAAAGAAATTTTGAAGAAAAAAAAAAGAAGAAATGATCAAAGAACCTGAATAGACAGATATTAAAAGAAGAAATATACATGGCCAACAAATATATGCAAAATGTTCAATGACACTAGCCTTCATGGCAATGCAAATCAAAAAAATCTGCATTTCAAACAAATAAAGTCACTCTTTCAAATAAATAAATGAAATAAATCGTTTTTAAAATTTGCTATTGGTTCCCAACTTTACAGGATTGGAGAAAAAAGTCATAAATATCCAAATATATTCTCTCAACACACACACACATATTTATACACACACATACATAAATATGTACACAAATACATACATGTCTACGGTTAGAAATTATAAAAAGATTTTCTTGTTATTTGGTTTATGTTAAAGGAATACTGAATTTTAATCAGCAAAGAAAACATCTTAGCTGTACATACTAAGACTGAAAATGTACATTTACATTTTCATGTTAGAAGGGAATACTCAGGACGTTAAAAAAAACAACTGACATTCCCAAACCAACAAAACAGATCTCCAATGGGAATTTTAACCCACCTCCGTATTTCATCAGTTAAGCAGACAATGTGCTCCTGCATCCTGCGCAGCCGGATCTCACAGCGCACATCTTTGGCTTGAGGGTTGTACTTCCGGGCATAAAAACCCCGCCAACAGGCCTGAAGCTTGGTGGCCGCGTCACTCAATTTCTGAAGCACAATTTTATCTTGTCCCAAAGCAACGGATCTCTGGGTTAAAACCCTGCAAGGAAGTTTTTCTGAAGCTGTTTGAGACGCGGCTTCTTCACTAACTGGCTGCGAATGGGGAACATCCTGTCTGACTGACTCAGGAGATGTGAGGTTACAATTACCATCGTTCAACATGGCGCTGATGACTGCTGGCTCAGGACATGGTAATAGCCCACCTTTCTCATTTGCCTCTGTGCACACCTCACTTTTTATCATTTCAACAGAACTCTCTTTTGAAGCCCATAAAGCTTTTTCTTCTTCCTTATCCAAGCTCTGGCTTTCTAGCCGTATCACAGATCCATCTGTAATACCATCGTCTTCTAGGCTCAGGTTAATGCCCTGTAATCTTAGTTCAACTGTAGGAGAGACTGGAGATAGTCCTGATGCAACTGGCATAAAAGTAGACTCTGAAGAGAGAAGGCTACAGTTTAACTTGTCCTCATCTGTCTGTATGTCTTCTAGGTGTAGATCATTTCGAGAATATCTTGAAGTATGCACAGAGGCTGCGAGGTGATTCTTAACAGCATACAGTTGGTCATCATTACTGCTTATCCCAACCCAAGAATTCACTTGAACGAAGGGTTCTGGAAGAATCAACACAGCATCATTTAAACCACTAAACAGTTAAATAATTTTTTCAGTTATATCATTTGAATGAAATCTAATCCTTGAAATATAGTAAAATGCAAGAAGCCTTCACTGATTTCCCCCAACATGTCTAATATATCAAACCGAACATTCTTAAGAAAATGAATTATTGCAATAATGATAATCAAAATATCAGGTCTATGCAAAAGGTAGCAGCGTTTGTTTTAAAAATTGTAAACCTGATGTAATAACATACAAACACATGCACATATCCACAAAAGCACCCAAACCATTACTGAAGTTACCAAACCAGAAAAAAAGTTACTAAAAAGTGTCCTTTTTTTCCTGCTTTATGACAGTTCACAAATCAAGCAATCTGGAGAAAGGGATCAGAGAGCAACCAGTTTCTTACCACTTTCCTGGACTGACTGGGAATCCTGAACGGGACTGGCACGCTCAGGCGCAGGGTTTGCCCGTGCTTCAACGGGAACAAGGGAAGACAACTCTTCATTCTGGCTTTGCTTCATCAGCTGCCTCTGATGAAACCTAAAAATCAGTAACATCTGCTGGGATCTAACACAATCCATAAGTGGAAGGGCTTTCTGCTCCTAAGTAACACTGCCGAAAACGTAGAAATGGACAAGTTTTCAAAGTACACGCTTTTTTTTTGGTGACATTAATTTATTTTAGTTTCACCTACTTCAAAGACAAAGCAACAAAGAGACAGACATCTTTCACGGAATGGTTCACTGCCCAAATGTTTCTAACAGTCAGCCAGGGGCCCAAGTACCCAAGCCGCCATCTGCTTCCCCAAAGCATGTGAGCAGCAGGAAGCAGAATCCAAAGCTCAAGAGTTAGCACTCTGGGCTGAGAAGCTGGCATCACAAGCAGCGGCTGACAACTACGCACAAAGCCCACCACCGCAGCAGGCACTGTGCAGCACCGTCAAATTAAAACTCTGATTCTAAGAACGAGACAGAACCCTCACACACACACAATTAACACTTGCACAAACATTCAAAAGCAGGTGAGAAGTAACTGAATACTTCTACCTACGCTCCTGTTTTTGTTTTGTTTTCCTTTTTGCTGTTTTAGGTGGCGGTGTTCTAACAAGGTGCATTTAGTGGCTTTCTATTTATTTATTTATTTTTAGATTTATTTATTTTTATTGGACAGGCAGAAATACAGAGAGAAGGAGAGACAGAGAGAAGATCTTCCATCCGCCAGTTCACTCCCCAAGCAGCTGTAACAGCTGCAACTGAGCCAATCCGAAGCCAGGAGCCAGGAACTTCTTCCGGGTCTCCCAAGCAGGTGCAGGGTCCCAAGGCTTTGGGCCGTCCTCAACTGCCTTCCCAGGTCACAAGCAGGGAGCTGCATGGGAAGCAGGGCTGCCAGGATATGAACTGGCGTCCATATAGGATCCCGGCATGTTCAAGGTGAGGACTTTAGCCGCTAGGCTATCGTGCCGGGCCCTCAGTGGCTTTTTAATGCACAAGTAAAACATATTTCTTTCCTTTCCTTCCAGCTTTTGTCTTTTCTATTGTTTTCCTTATTACTTTTAAGGCTGGACTGCATTTTTGTCAATTGTTTTTTGTGTTGTTGTTTTTAAATCTCCCAGGCTTTAGAGACTCTCTGTTCTGTGCTCTGATAAGGCCCCCACCCCCAAAGGTCAAGGCACCTCGGGTGTGGGTGTGGTGAGGGGGCACCTGGGCATCCACGCTTTATCCACCATCTCCAGGAAGTCCTGACCACACTCCACAGTGTCAGTTTGAGTATTCAAACTCCTCTTCTGCATTCTGAGATTATAGCTCCCAACCAATCCTGTGCCAGGCACCCCCAACCTCACCTCCAGGAAGACTGCTTCCTCAGCCTAAACAGCATTTTAAAATAAAACTGCAAACATAAGCATCTTTCTAAGAAAAAAATAAGATCTTTTTTCTGTTGGTTAAAAAAAATCTTTCCTGTTTTCCTTTCCAACTATCTCATCTCCTACAATCCTGGCTGCCTGAACCCTCTCTCATCTGAAGAAGAAAGGGGTGGGGGGCCCTGACTCCTGCCTGGGTCTTACTTCCTGAGGTGCAGCTGCTCCTGTGTAGCCCTGTGCAAACAGCCCTCATCTTGAAGGACGACCCTGGGAAGGGCTAGGGGACCCTGCTTAGAAGGTAGGATGTCTGTCTACCACCAGGACTCCACAGTCACATCGTTGGGGGTGGGGGGTTCCCAGCTGAACAGCCTAGGCAACGAACTTCGACATTGGCGAGCTGAGCTTGCCTGGGACTGATCCAGCCTTTCCTTGGTTTACTGGTTGATATGCATACATTTCCTTAATCTCCAAAGGTAAAGCAGAAGGAACAGCTACTTCAGGGAGCACAGTGTCTCTCCTTGCTGGGCCCCAGAGGTGGAGCTGCTGCAGGTGTGTGCCCCCCAGCCTCTACACGCAGTGCCCCCAGGACTGGCCCTCAAACACTTTCACACATCCACAAAGCCTCACCAGATTGGAAATAATGGTTTTGCTTTCATTTCTTTTGTTCTTTTTCTTTTTTTTGCACCTGACATTTGAAACACAAACATAACACAAAACACCCCCCCTACAAACAATGACAAAAACATTCTCCTCTTCCTAGTTAAGTTGGCAAGACCCTCCTCAAAAGATTTTTGTTTTCTGAAATGCAGGCATTCAGTACTCATGCTTTTATCACGACTTTAATTTAAAATATAAAAATAAAATCCATCCATAACTATACACAGTAGGTGACTGCGGGGGCAGGGCTGGGTAAAGGCAGGGGAGAGGCAGCATTTCGGGTCCCTGCAGAGCCTGTGGGCCCCAGGACTGGTTGGCAGTGAAGGCAGGCAGTGCTGGGGGAAGCCAATTCCCAAGGTGTTCCTCTGTGGGCTTGCAGCCCCGTTCCTCCTGGATACCCAGAGGGCTTTGTCCCTCGAAGGCTGGTGGCCCCAAGTGGCCAGACTGATATTTCTTATTTTTAAATATTCATATTTTTAACTTACTTAAAAACCCATATAAGGGGCAGCCACTGATTGTAATGTCTATATCTCAGGATATTGTCTCGGCACCAATACTCACCCAAGATGACAGCAAGTAATGCTTCCAGAAAAGAGAGACCTGGATTAAGTTTCCAGCTCTCCAGTTTCAGCTTAACCCAGCCCTAGCTGTTGTGGGCATTTCAGAAGTGCATCATGGGCCCGGCGCCATGGCCTAGCAGCTAAAGTCCTCGCCTTGAACATCCGGGATCCCATATGGGTGCCAGTTCTAATCCCGGCAGCTCCATTTCCCATCCAGCTCCCTGCTTGTAGCCTGGGAGAGCAGTCAAGGATGGCCCAAAGCCTTGGGACCCTGTACCCATGTGGGAGACCTGGAAGAAGTTCCTGGATCCTGGCTTCGGATCGGCATAGCACCGACTGTTGCGGCCGCTTGGGGAGTGAATCATCAGACAGAAGATCTTCCTCTCTATCTCTCCTCCTCTCTGTATATCTGACTTTCCAATAAATAAATAAATCTTTAAAAAAAAGATTATCAAATAAAATAATTTAGAAAAAAAAGTAAATTAAAGATTCAGGAAGGGCCTGGCACAGTGGCCTAGGGGTTAAGCCCTCGCCTTGAACAGGCCAAAACCCCATATGGTCACTGGTTCTAATCCTGGCAGCTCTACTTCCCATCCAGCTCCCTGCTTGTGGCCTGGGAAAGCAGTCGAGGATGGACCAAAGCCTTGGGACCCTGCACCCATGTGGGAGACGCCGAGGAGGTTCCTGGCTCCTTGGCTTTGGATCGGCTCAGTTCCGGCCACCCGGCCACTGAAGTCACTTGGGGAGTGAATCATTGGACAGAAGATCTTCCTCTCTGCATATCTGACTTTCTAATAATAATAAATAAGTAAATAAATAAATGTTCAGGGAAAACAAACAAACAAAACACAGGATTTAAGCCTTTTTCTTGGCAAGGGCCCCAAAAGGCCCAGCACACGGCTGCAACACTTGCCTTCAGGGCACTATCATCAGAACAGATATTTTCACCTGTGAATCCTTCAGCTGCCACAGATGAATGAGCTTACCTCTGTTTGCTCAGAATCTTCTCCAGTTTGGCATCCTCTGCAGTCTGCAGGCCCAGCGCAGAGGTGAGAGGACAGACTGTAGCCAGATACTGGACAAGCTGAACGTGCTGACCCGGCCGGTATGCTCTCCCTTTGCCTTGACTATAGAGCCATTCGGCTTTCAGACTGAAATTTCAACAACAAAAGAAGAGATGACACGATGTAATCAAAATATATTGCTGATAATATATTACCTTTATGCTGGATATTTCTTAAGAATAAGATTTTCCCAAGTTTTAAAAATATCTCTTCCCAACTCACTTTCATTGCTTGAATAATGTTTTAGATATTCTTCCCCATAGAGTTGCGCTAATGATTCCAAGTATTTTAAAATTACTTTCAAGGAAGGGATCATATTTTATCCATTAATTCTGTCAAACTAAGGTACTTAAAAACATCAATTACATCATCAGCTATTAGATCATACTAGCTTTTTTTTTTTTTAAAAAAAAAAAGGTAATTGGTTATAGCTGCAGAATGCTAGTAAGCTTCCCCCAACTCATTTTTAAAATTTATTTTTCACTTATTTGAAACTCAGGGATTCAGAGAAAGAGCAAAGATAGAAAATCTTCCACCTGATGGTTCACTCCCCAAATGGCCACAATGACCAAGCTAAAGCCAGGAGCCCAGCGCTTCTTCTTGGTCTTCTATGTGAGTGCAGGAGTCCAAGTACTTGTGCCATCTCTTGCTGCTTTCCCAGGGGCATTAACAGAGAACTGGATCAGAAGAGAAGCAGCTGAGACTCAAACTGCTGCCCATCTGAGATGCTGGTGTCACAAGCAGAAGATTCATTTTTTAAGAGCTGACAAAGGGTGAATATTGTGGTACAATGGGTTAAGCCACTACTTGAATGCGTCCATCCAATACTAGAGTACCTGGAATTGAGTCCTGCCTCTAATTCCAACCCAGTTTTCTGCTACTGCATACCCTGAGAGGAGCAGAGGATGGCTTGGGTCCCTATCATTGCATGGAAGACCCAGACTGGAGTTTCCAGGCCTTCAGCCTAGCCCAACCACAGCTATGTGGGCATTTGTTATATATTAAATATATATATTACATTTAATCCTAACACATCTTATAGACAAAAAACTTAGATTCATAGAAACTGAAGAACTTACCAAAGCCACACAGCTGATACATGGCAGGGAAAGATGGGAAGCGTTCCCTTAGCTCTCCTAACTAGGTCACTCTTTAAACTACACCCTTATTCATGTTCATATTCACTTCACCATGCTACTCCTCAGGTATTAAAATACTGCCAGTCCTACTGCCATAGAAAAATCCCGATTTTCTTTTCTTAAAGGAAGATCCAGAGATTCTAATTCAAGTTAACTCCATATTATAGCTTTAGAACTACTCATGGTTTAAAAAACCATCAAACTATTAAAGGAAAACACAGGAAATACTCTCCAAGAAATAGGAACAGGGAAAGTCTTCTTAGAAAGGACACCAAAAGCACAGGCAGTTAAAGACAAAACAAAAAAAAATGGGTCTACATCAAACTAAAAAGCTTCTGTACAGCAAAGGAAACAATTAACAAAGCTAAGAAGCAACCCACAGAATGGGAGAAAATTTTTGCACACTACACAAGTGGTAGGGGACTAATATCCAAGATTTACAAAGAGCTTCAGAAACCCAGGGACAGTAAAAAAAAAAAAAAAAAAACAAACAAAAAAGAAAAAACCAAGAAACTGAGAAAAAATAGGAAATGAACACGAACAGACATTTTTCAAAAAGAACAGATTCAAATGGCTAACATACATATGAAAAGATGCTCAGGCTCCCTAACCATCAGAAAGATACAAATGAAAACCACGTTGAGGTATACCTAACTCCAGTCAGATTGGCCTACATTCAGAACTCAACTATCAACACCTGCAGAGTGGATGTGGGGAGAAAGGTACCCTCCTTCACTGCTGGTGGGAGTGTAGGCTAATACAACCACTACGGAAAGCAGCATGGAGAGTATATAGAGAATTGCAAATAAACCTGCCATATGACCCAGTATCCCACTCCTAGGAATATACCTAAAGGAAATGAAAACTGCATATGAGAAAGGAATCTGTAATCATGTACTTACAGCAGCACAATCTATAATAGCAAAGACACAGAAGCAATCCAGATGCCCATCCAAAGAGAAGTGGTTAAAGAAACTATGGTACGGCCCAATGTGTTAGCGTAGTGGTTAAAGTCCTCACCTTGAATGCACCAGGGTCCCATGTGGGTGCTGGTTCTAATCCTAGCGGCTCCACTTCCCATCCAGCTCCCTGCTTGTGGCCTGGGAAAGCAGTTGAGGACAACCCAATGCTTTGGGATCCTGCACCCGCATGGGAGACCCGGAAGAGGCTCCTGGCTTCAGATTGGCTCAGTTCCAGCCGTTGTGGTCACTTGGGGAGTGAACCATCAGACGGAAGATCTTCCTCTCTGTCTCTCTTCCTCTCTGTATATCTGCCTTTCCAATAAAAATAAATAAATCTTTAAAACAAACAAACAAAAAAAGAAACTGTGGTACATCTACTCCATGGAATATTACTAGGCCACTAAAAAGAATAAAATTATACAATTTGTGGGCCCGGCAGTGTGGCCTAGCGGCTAAAGTCCTCACCTTGAACATGCCGGGATCCCATATGGGTGCCAGTTCTAATCCCGGCAGCTCCACCTCCCATCCAGCTCCCTGCTTGTGGCCTGGGAAAGCAGTTGAGGACGGCCCAAAGCCTTGGGACCCTGCACCCATGTGGGAGACCTGGAAGAAGTGCCTGGCTCCTGGCTTCAGATCAGCACAGCACCAGCAGTTGCAGTCACTTGGGGAGTGAATCATCGGATGAAGATCTTCCTCTCTGTCTCTCTTCCTCTCTGTATATCTGACTTTGTAATGAAAATAAAATGAATCTTTATAAAAACAAACAAACAAAAAAGAAATTACACAATTTGCAACCAGATAGTCCCAATTAGAAACTATTATGCTCTGTGAAATAAGTCAATCACAAAAAGATAAACACCATATGTTCTCTCTAATATAAGGAAACCATCATGCAGATTGGAATGTACACTGATGGAGCAATGGAGACTACCACGTCCAGATGTGAAGACACATGCAGCATGCATCCCTACTTCCAAAGAAAAGATGGACTCCTAATGAAAGTGTTGGACATATCTAGACAATGGGACGATAAACTCTGACACTGTACCAGCAGTGTCGGAGCACTCTCAAATAGTAGAGCGTTGAAATTGTAACTCCTTACGAAATAATGTCCTGTTGTGACAATGTAGGGAAAATCAGCTGGGTGGATGGGAACTCAGGGGGAGGGGAATCCCAGACTACATAGAACTGTACCATAAAATTCAAAATTTTAAATAAAATTTTAAAAATAAAGAAATAAACAAAATCACAGCTATTTTCAAAGTAACATTTACTGTGGGAAAAAGGAAAACCCATGCTTTTATTTAGGGAAAACTGGACCTAACAAATGTTCTTCACCCAACACCAGTTTGTAGCTCCCAGTTCCTAGTCCTCTTTGCCCCTATAGACCCACACAATACTTCTGGGGAGAAGCAAATGGGAATTGCTGTCTGTAACGTATTGTTCATCCTCCCACTAGAAAACTCAAGTGTTTCAAGTATTGGAATGAAGGACAAGTAAAAATGAAAAAAAAAAAAAAAAAAAAAGAAGAAGATGAATAGCGAGAAAATGTCCAAATGCAATGAAAGGTACTATGGCTCAGAGTGTGATGAGGCATAAACAGAATGAAGTCATCCCAACCCCCAATCTTGCTCCAGCTTCACTCTGCCTTGCCAAGCCTAGTTCCTTACTTCCTGTAAAGCTTTAACTCTATTGATCACGAGCCAGTGTCCTGAAGCCCCCCACCCTGGATCCCAGCTTCAAGCCACACACACCATCAATTATAGGATAAAGGAAATGACCACTTCTTTTAGTTCATAGGTAGAAGAAAGGGAAGACTCATCAGCAGATCTGCTACCAGTTCCAAACTGCAACTCTGCCTGCTGTTTCCCAGAGTTATCATATTAAAAGGTAATTAGGTTCTAAGATATTATGAATACTACCATTACAGACAAGCTTTTGTAGGACTGAACTGAGATCCTATATAAGCCTTCTATGCAAAAATGTCAAGCTCCAAATTAAAGATTAATAAAAGCATTTTCAGAAATCAAACTGTTCTATGTTGGACACTATGTTGTGCTCCCAAGTGCCAATCCCAGAAACTAATATTTCTTATTCTTTTTAGAAAGCAAAAAAATCCTAAACAACCAGCACATGTTGTGCTACGTGACTATACTAATGCTATTAATTTCTAAAAGCACATTTTAAGAAATATTCAACTTATTAATCTGCAGTAAGCTAGAAATGGTCTTTTCAGCAATTTCCATGATTCACATGATGTTATAAAGAAGACATGTTCACCTTTCCTTCTGAGAAATCACATATCCATCTAGGACTCTGAGGTTTAAGCACCAACTGACAATGTATGGCCGATAATCAAACCCTGGAATGGAAGGTGTTGCCATCACACAAGGATTGTTCATGATCGACAACTGCTCCAATTCGGTTAACGATGCCAAAAATGAGATCTGGAACAAAAGATACCTTTGTTGGATAAAATGGATTATTCAGTATCAAGCACAGGGTTACAACTGATTACACATCTTTGGCAGCATTTGAGAATGTAACAATCCCCTCTTGTACTGACAAGTGACAAATAATATTCTTCTATTATCCATGACTTTCCAAAATTCCAACAATATGGCCGTCTGTCCCTGCTGTACAAAGTCCTTTACAAAATATCAGTGCTATTTCCTAGCAAAGAGAACTCTATTTTGAGAACATAACAGCAGCCAGGGGAAAGTATTTTATTAAACCCTATATCACAGATATGTATCACTAGTCACAGCCCGATGGAAGAATAATTGTACTAATACAAAAGAAATTAATTCTTAATGATACGCTGACATTAAGGAAAAGCAGAAAGAAAAATTATATTCATCTGGAACAAAGTGGTCTCCTTGATGCCAGTCTCTTCCCAGACACAGTCTAAATGATATCATAACCCTCTCCTGTGTCTCTTCTGAACTTCCTACCTCCCTGAATCCCACAGAATAACCTCAAATTTTACCTCATTTAAGTCCCGGACTTCATTTTCTGCCAAAGAAAGAATAGCAAGACTTCTGGGTAGATAAGTGGGTGCCATTCTAAGAGTAGTGATAATGTTTCCATGTAAAAGCAGAGTCTTGAAAGCAAAAACAGTATGAATTATTAATGGGAAGATTATACATCTATGTATCTTGATATCATCAAAATTATATATAACCTATTTTATTATGCTTTTGAGCATACACAAATCAGATCGTTAATGCCAAAATGGTTCTGGGTGGCCTTCTTGTCCAACTCTCCTTTTCAGGTCAACATCCTAAGCTCACAAAAGTCTAAAGGCATGTCTAAAAATACTTCCTTAGTGGAGCAACTATTATGCTGTGAGATTTAAGTTACTAGACATTAAACAAATTCCAACATAGTTATTCCTATCTTTTTCAAACATCAAAATAGAATGTGAAAAGTGAGGTAAGGATGTCATCAAAGAGCTAGCATTGCAGCATAGCTAAGTTAAGCTGCTGCTTGCAACACCAGCATACCATGTGAGCACTGGTTTGTGTCCCAACTGTTCCACTTCTGGTCCCTGCCAATGGCATGAGAAAAGCATGGAAGATGGTCCAAGTTTTTAGCTATCTGCCACTCATATAGGAGACCCAGATGAAGTTCTGGGCTCTAACTGGTCACACGTGGCAGGGTCAAGACACTAACCAGCATGTGAGAGAACTTGGTCCAGGGGTAGACTTTGTGGAGGAAGTGTGGGCCCAATCCTGTGGAAATACAAGTCCCACAGGTTAGCTTGCGAGCTGGGGTGGCAATGACCATGGCACTTGCCATCACTTACAGGTAAAGAAACCAATAAAGTCTGGGCAGGTCAAGGCAGTAGCACCCAAAGGTGCATCCTAAAATAGGATGTGGGGTGGACTCAGCTGCAACTGGAAGGGGGTGGATCAGGCAGGGCCAAGCAAACTTCAACTCACAAGAAAGAACAGAAATCAGGATGGAGCTCATGTCATGCCGAACTAGGCTCTTACACCGACTGGTCTGCACCAGCCATGGATACTAAATCACAGCATCAAAGGCAAAGGCTGAAACAAGTGAGGGGCTCTGCCAAGCTGGGTCAGAGCAATCACAGGCATGTGCATAATCTAGGGATGGGAATAGACTCAGATGGGGAGCAATAAGAGTGCACCCTTGCTGGGTTGGGGTTTCCACAGGAGAGTGCAGGGACTGGAGTGGTGGCTGCGTGCTGGTCTGGATATGGATACAATCTCCCTTGGCACAAGTGTGGACTGGGGCTGGGTGCACCAAGCCAGGCTAGACTCCAGCACAATCTGTTGCTGTGGAGAACGTGGGTAGATGTAGGATGTACTAGGCTGGGTCTCTGCCCCTACTGAGTCATGTGTGAGCAGTGTCTGGGTATGGACAAACCTTGGCTGGACTGAAACAGCCAACATCAAGAACTGGAATGGACTGAAGGCCAGCAATGAGGGCCCGTGGAACCACCAGTACACACAAGATCTGGCATAGGGAGAGGTTCTGATGAGGGAGCTTGGGAAACTCCTGTGTCAGGACACAACCCTACAGATAAGTGCAAGAACCATGATAACAAGCAACCCAGACCAGGCCAGAGGAAGATACCCACCAGCATACATATGGCATAGGTGGGGGGAAGACCAGGCTGAACCCGTTCACTTCACCTACTGGCAAATCGAAACACCAGAACAGAGTGTGGGTCGGGGCGGGTTTGGTTGAGACACAAACCAGTGCACGTTACGGAATGCCAAGGTGGGGTGAGCCGGACCAGATGTAGTTGCAGCACCCAAACAACACATGTGAGAACCAGCGGTGGGTAGGGGGAAGGAGGCAAAGCCGGTTGGGGAAATGTGGGCTTCCCTGTTAGACAACCACTCTCACTGGAGAGCATGATTTGGGATGGGGGCAGACTAGACCAGGCAGGGCTACAATATCTGTGGGCCTCATGTATGCTAGATCAGGGAATGGCCACCTTGGGCTGACTGTTCCTACTGGTGCTAGTAAAAATTAGAGTGAGTGTGGGTTGGTTGGGCTTTGCCGTGGCATCAGCTGGCAGAGGCTGGCACTGGGAGCTTAATCTGTCAAGTTAAACTACAGAACCACCCGGAAAGTGCATGATCTGGGAGTGGAAGTGGCCTAGTAGGGAGATAGTGGGCACCTTCCTCTTGGGTTACCACTCCCACTGGAGAGCACAAAAACCAGGACAGGGGCAGGGGTGGCTAGACAGAAAGGCACCCGCGAGTAGGTGTATGGGCTGGATAGTAGGGTTGATTGGGTTGAACTAGGCTTCAATGCCCATTGACATGTACGAGAGCTGAATGTGGGACAGACTGAATCAGTCTGCAGTACATACTGGCATGCATGGGAACCAGAGGAGGGAGCAAGCCTGGTGGGGGTTATGGGGAGTCACCCCAACTAGGCTGCAGCTCCCACTGGTTTGCGTGAGGGCCGAGTATGAAGTGGGTAGGACTGGGCTGGACTGCAACACCCATCGGTTCATGTGGAAGACAGGGCTGGAAACAGAACTGACCCAGCAATTGAAACGACCAGCATGTGCATAAGCTGATTGGAGTGACAGACCTGTACTGGTAAATTCACACAAGAACCAGATTTGGGATCATCTCAGATGAAGTTTCTTTGGAGATCCCTTCAACTGAACTGCTAATCTCAGAACCCCAAGCATGAAGAGACTATGTCAGCCAGTGGATTCTGAATAGATTTCATCGCAATTGGAATGGTGAGATTGGCAGCAATTCAGAACTGTTGAACTATCAAAATTGTTTGAGCAGGACCCTGGGAGCGTGCCTCACATCAGGGACCTGGGATGGGTGGAAGGCTGGGTGGAGCATCTCGCTTTGTTTTTCCCCTCTCCCCAGATATAGGGGGAAAATGATGATATTAGAGTGGAAACAATGGTCTTATCCACTTTCCTGTAGCCTTTGACCTTTTGTACCCTAATCAACTAAGTAAGATATTTAAAAAAAAGAAGAAAAAGTTCTGGGCTCCAGGATTCAGCCTGCTCTAACTCTGGCAACTGCTGCTGTGTGGAGCGTGAATCAACACATGGAATTTCTCCCCTTTCCTGTAATTCTGACTTCAAAAAAAAAAATCTTTTATAAATAGGTCATGAAATAAGCATGTAAATTTTCCAAAAGCTACCCATAACCATAACATGCAATTATATTTTCTTAGGAACTAAAATCCAGAGCAAAGCAGAATGTAATCATTGCAGATGAAGTTAATTAACATTAAGTCAGCAATAACCAGGAGTAAACTCAAGCCTCTGAACACCCAGAATTCTGATCAGCTAATCATGCCTTCAGTAGCCCTCAGGTTCATTTGAATTCTTTTAGCAACCATCAGGACAGCATCTGGTGGCATCAAATTGTTTAGAATAATTGTTGCTAAAAATGACTGCTGCTAAAGACCTGGGGAAAACAGATCTGAACCGCTGCTTTGGGGCCCACTGAGGTCATCTAATGATAACATCAGACGAAAAAAAGGAAAGGGCTCATGTGTGTTTTTTGGAAGCTGCAATTCCAACTATTACTTACCATATAACACACTCTTCTTTTTTTAAAGAAAAGATTTATCTTAATTTTATTTTTAAATCAAATATACAGATCTGTCCGTTGATTCACTCCCCAAGCGGCCCTAATGGCCACTGCTGAGCCAATCTGAAGCCAGGAACTTCTTCCAGGTCTCCCACACGGGTGCAGGGTACCAAGGCTTTGAGCTGTCCTCAACTGCTTTCCCAGGCCACAGGCAGGGAGCTGGATGGGAAGTGGAGCTGCCAGGACATGAACCGGTACGCATAGGGGATACCAGTGCTGCAAGGCAAGGACTTTAGCCACTAGGCTACTGCACCAGGCCAAACACACTCTCTTCTATACAAAGTGTTATATACTATATGTTTACTTTTAAATTAAAATGAAAGAGTTTTGATACGTAATTATTATTATTATTATATAAGTGCAATCTTCAGTGTCCAAAAAACGTATGGAAAGGATAAGTGTTTGGCACAGTGGTTAAGGTACCACTTAGAACTTCAGCATCCCACACTGAATTCCTAAATTCAAGTCCTTGCTCTGCTTCTGATTCTAGCTTCTTCTTTTTCTAAGTTTTATTTATTTTCATTAGGAAGTCAAGAATTTACAGAGAGAAGGAAAGATAGAAAAAGGATTTCCCATCCGTTGGTTTACTCCACAGCTTTCCGCAACAACCAGGACATGAACCAGAACCAATACGCAACCCCAGCATATGCAAGGTGAGGACTTTAACCACTAGGCTACTGCGCTGGGCCCAGATTCTAGCTTCTTAAGACTTACCATGGGAAGCATCTGGTGACGGTTCATGTAATTGGGTCTCTGCCATTCAGTTGAGACCCAGATTGGGTTCCTAGCTCCTGTTTTTGGCCTAGTCCAGCACTGGCTGCTATATCTAGGGAGTTAATCAGGACATGAAAAATTCTCTCCCTGAGCCTTTTAAGTAAAATAAATATAAATAATATAACAACAACAAAATGATTCAGGGTTAGGAACAATGTGACTAAAGTCCTTGTCTGGCATGCTGAGTTCCCATATGGGCACTGGTTCATGTCCCAGCAGCCCTGCTTCCCACCCAGCTCCCTGCTAGTGGCATGAAAAAGCAGTGAAGCATGGCTCAAAGCCTTGGGACCCTGCACCCACGTGGGAGACCCGGAAGAAGCTCCTGGGCCCCGGCGCAATGGCCTAGTGGCTAATGTCCTGGCCTTGAACTCGCCTGGATGCCATATGGGTGCCAGTTCTAATCCCGGCAGCTCCACTTCCCATCCAACTCCCTGCTTGTGGCCTGGGAAAGCAGTCGAGGATGGCCCAAAGCCTTGGTACCCTGCACCTGTGTGGGAGACATAGAAAAAGTTCCTGGCTCCTGGCTTCGGATCAGCTCAGCCCTGGCTGTTGCAGCTACTTGGAGAGTGACGCATCAGACAAAAGATCTTCCTGTCTCTCCTCCTCTTTCTATATCTGACATCCCAATAAAAATAAATTAATTTAAAAAGAAAACAAAAACAGATTCAGACCTGGCACTGTAGCCTAGTGGCTAAAGTCCTCGCCTTGCATGCCAGTATCCCAAATAGGTGCCAGTTCTAATCCTGGCTGCCCCGCTTCCCATCCAGCTCCCTGCTTATGGCCTGGGAAAGCAGTCGAGGATGGCCCAAAGCTTTGGGACCCTGCACCCGCGTGGGAGTGCCAGAAGAAATTCCTGGCTCCTGGCTTCGGATTGGCTCAGCTCCAGCCATTGCGGCTGCTTGGGGAGTGAACCACTGGACGGAAGATCTTCCTCTCTGTCTCTCCTCCTCTCTGTGTATATCTGCCTTTCCAATAAAAATAAATAAACTTTTAGGGAAAAAAAAAAAGCTAGATTCTAGCTCAGGAATGATTATGCTAAGCCTCATCACCATGTTATACACTGCATAACTAAATCTACTAGCAGTGGTGAATTAAGCATGAAGGGAGTTCAATCATGTTCAGAGAATGGCAAAAAGAATTAACCTGCAAAGGTTGTGTTCCCTAAAAGTTCATGTGTTAGGAATCTAATCCCCAGGTTCACACGTTATGGGAGGTAATTACAATTGGATTAGGCCAAGATGGCATAACAACGTCAGTGACTTTATAAGCAGAGGAGTAAGGCTGGAGCTAGCATGCTTGCTTGTCCACCATCTTACGATATATCAAAAAGCTGTGCAGATTCTGAGGCCTTGCTTGGCTTGCCCAATGTCTAGAACTAAGAACCAAATAAATTCTTCTTTATAAACAATGCAATTTCAAATACTGTGTTAAAGCAACAACAACAAAAAACCAGCACACTGGCATAACTATAGTAAGCAGTTTCACACGAAATACAACAGTTCTTGTATAAAAGTAACAGTAATTTCCACACTAATTTCTAATATTCTAATAGCATTCTCATGATAACGAAACAATCTGCTTTTCACATGCTGCACATAAACTTAGGATAATCACTCACTTTCTGTTGGTATCTTGGTGTAAAATTTCAGAAATGACATAGAAAATGTGCTTACCTTCAGGGACACCAATTTAGATAGGTCACCTATCTGGGGTATGTTGTTGTCGGATAAATCGAGATGCTGCAGAGCTGTGCAGCTATTGATGGGCTCCATGGCCTACCGCAAGAAAAGTATGTCAATAAGTGCAGATAAAGTGAAAAAATGCAATTCCCTAATCCTGGCAGCTGAAGAAAGTCCCCCATCTCCCTTCAAGTAGCAGAGCTTAGCAACAAAAGAGCAGACAGTATTAACAGAACTTACAAATTGCTGTCACATCGCTTCCACCTTCGTTTTCTAAAACTAGAGCCTGCTAACTGGCTCATAACATCCTAGATGCTGCAACTTGAAGAAACCTCAGTAATAACCTAGGACAGCTGGTGCAGAACACAGTATACAAGAGTGAAGCCAAACCACCCCGATTTACATCCAACCTCTGCAACTTCCTGGCTGTGAGATCTTAGATAAGTTATCTAACTTTTCTGTGATTCTGTTTTGTTATCTCTGTAATCAGCATATACCTTTTAGTCTATCACGAGATAGCATGTATTAATATGGACAAGGTGTTTAGCACAGTAGTCACATAAATTGTCCAATAAAAAGCAGCAGTTAATACACCTTAATCTAGCCCCTTCACCCAGCCTATTAAAAATAAGACAGAGATACAGAAAAGTACTAAGTAGCGAATCAAACTACAGATCTCCTAACTTTCATAACAGTATATTACCCACTACACTATTAAAATTTACTTAAAACTTAATTCAACACAATAGACTCCCTCCTAACAATTGTATTAGTTCATCTATGTTTTGTAATATATATTCTTCATTCACAATCAAAAGAATATTAAACCATTATGTGTTTCCAAATGCTGTGTTTTTAATTTGCTAACAGAAATTATCTCTGGGGAGTGGGATGAGTACTCTGTTTTTCTATATGTATCTTTTTTTTTTTTTTTGTTCCAACCTGGAATATGACCCAGAACCCGGGCAGCAGTAGTTAAAAAAAATAAAAAGGCAGACAGAAGGGAAGGAAGGAAAGGAGAAAAGATCAGGGAGCTGGGAGCAGTGAACAGGGAAGGGAAACCGGACCCAGAAAGCTTTCCGACGGCCTATAGTCTAGATATACACGCATTTTAAAACCTAACAAAACCGCTCACCTTGAGATTATTTCCTGCCAAATTCAGCCATTCCAAATGTACTAGTTCCTTCAGCCCTTCCACATAGCCAATGCTATTATGAGGCAAATTTAAAACACGAAGTTGGGTCAGTTTCGCCACACCCATCATCCGTACAAGCCGATTATTAGCCACTGACAACTGTGGAAAGGAAAAACAGTTATTCAAAAGAACAATATATATATGATTTTCATATTATGGAAGTTTAAAAACAAGGTTTGTTTAGAAGGTCAAACATTCCTGAATACACAAGCCCAACTTATACTTCTCACAGTTATGGGGATATTTCAAAAGGTCATGGAAACTAAAGATGAGATGATCCTGCTGCAAAACAAATTTGAAATCCATGAATAGTTCTTTCATAATATGAGATTTCATGAACTTTTTTAAAGTCTTCATATGCATGGAACATGTTGGATAAAGCTCAGTGAGCAAGTCTCGTCCAGTTCCTAGAGATATTTTTAACACATCAGCAACCTGAGAAAATTTAATTCCACGAGAATGGAACTCAAGGCCAATATTGTGGCATAGCTAGTTAAGCCACTGTCTGTGAATGCAGCACCCCATATGGGCACCAGTTCAAGTCCCAGCTGCTTCCACTTCCTATTCAGCTCCACACTAATGACCTGAGAAAAGCAGATGGCTCAAGTGTTTGGGCCCATGACACCCATGTGGAGACCCCCCAAAATTCCTAGTTCTTGGCTTTGGCCTGGCCAAGCCCTGGCCTTTGCAGCCATTTAGGGAGTGAACCAATGGATGAGAGATTTCTTTTTCTCTCCCTTTAACTCTCTCAAAGAAATAAATCTTTAAGAGATTAAAACACTGGAATCCTATTGTCTCAGTCAAAGCCTAGAACAAGACATAAAAGAGGGACCCAAGAAACATTTCAGATGAATAAATGAATCAATTCTCTATTCCCATGATATAAAAGGTTATCTTCATAACATAGTATTTTGCTAATATAAAATGTTTTCTTTCTTTTTTTTAAAAAAAGATTTATTTTTATTATTTTTTATTGGAAAGGCGGATATACAGAGAGGAGAGACAGAGAGGAAAACCTTCCGTCCGATGATTCACTCCCCAAGTGAGCGCAACGGCCGATGCTATGCCAATGCGAAGCCAGGAGCCTCTTCCGGGTCTCCCACACGTGGGTGCAGGGTCCCAATGCTTTGGGCTGTCCTCGACTGCCTTTTCGGGCCACAGGCAGGGAGCTGGAAGGGAAGCAGGGCTGCCGGGATTAGAACCGGCGCCCATATGGGATCCCGGGTGTGCAAGGCGAGGACCTTTAACCACTTGCGCCACCGCGCCGGGCCCAAAATGTTTTCTTTCTTAAACAATGCTCTTTTCCTATTCTGCCCTTAACGTAACACATATGCATTCAACCGCAGGAGAAGCTATCTTATAAAAATTTAAAGCAACATTTACTACTCTCAAGGACTGCTGAGTTCTTGTCAGGTTATTTGGTTTTATTTTGTTTAACAACAAATTGGTCCTGTAGAACTAATCCCCAAATAGCAATACCCACCTGTATTAATCGTTTGCATTTCTCCAGATTTTCCAATTTAATAATCTGATTTTTATCCAGAATCAAGGTGTGAATGTCAGCTTCACAGGGTAAATTTGGACCTAATTTCTGTAATCCTTGCCCTGACCAATTGACCACTGATCCTTAAAGACAGAAGGGACTTTGTTAGAAAACACAAATAAAACAAATACAACTTCAGTAATTTGTAGCTAGGCAATATCAGCGTTTTTAAAATGGAACTAAACTTTCCATGGGAATAACAAAAGTATACACACTATTTTGAAAATTACAATATAATTAATTTGCCTGTAAAACAGAAAAATACACCTATCTCACAAGGTTGGTATGAGGCTTAAAAGAGAAACCATAAGAATAGGACACATCCCCAGTCTTGGCACCCAGCATTAATAAAAACACTTCAGTATATAACATTCAGTCCCAGCCACACCCGACCCAATTTCTGGAACCTTCCAAGATCAGCCACCACAAAGCTAAACTTGTTCCAAAGACTAAGAAATCTTGACTTCCACTCCCAACAACACTGAAACCACTGTATGGCTTTGGACAGGTCATTTAGCCTCCTCAGAACCATTGTGCTATTAACAATAAAATCTGTACACAGTGGGATGTGGAGGGAGCATGCAAAAAATAAATCTCGGAACCATTAATTAACTACTGTAGCATCTTAGACAAGTCAATGATCTATTTGGGGCTCACTTTCCACTCTGTAAAACGTGTTCTTCCAAATGAACTCAGAAGTCTCCATAAATGTTACCTACCCTTATCGTCTTGCTGGGCTAGAAGGTGCAGCTTACCAGAAGCAGCTATTGGAGGGGGCGGGGCCAGCGAACCAGCCAATTTCAAATTTATGCCTGAAATAGGACTACTTGGGCAAAGAATTAGGCGAGACTATTTCCCACTGTGTAATGGCTCTCACAACGTGAGAGATCATAAGCTCCTCAAAGAACTGGATGAAAGCTGTACTGGTCCCAGAAAAACACACCAGCTCTGCAGAGAATTCCAAGGGTCGTCAAACCTCGTGGAACCACCGACCAACTCTGCTCCCTACAATCCATAGCTCCTGGACAAGGAGTTCCTGGTCCACACTGTGGACACTGGCCTCATCCACCGGCCCTGCTCCCGACTGGGACGGTCCTGCCCAGCATCCGAGCCGTAACCAAAACAAAAGCTCACGTCCAGCGCCTCCAGAGTGGGATCTCCCAGCCTCAGGAGCCCCCACAGCCGCGCTCTGCTGGGCGGCCACCAAACCCGATCCCAAGACCGCTTCTGAAGATAAAGGACAGCAAACTGTGCAACCTAAGTCGCCCCAGATCTCATCACGGCAACCGGTTACTTCAAAAGGAGGGTGCTAAGTCAGTATACGGAGTGGTGTTCGAGAAAAGATTTCCTGAACGTTCTAGGATCCTAGGGGAAGGGGGGTTGTATGAAGCGAAACAGAGAGACCGTACAAATTCCACTTGCGCACCCAGAACTCAAAGTAATCGCCCAAGAACCGTGACAGCGGCTCGAAACCCACCGCCCAGCCAGCCTTGGTAGCGCGGGAGTGGAGGCGCGGGACCACGCGAAGGCCCCTGGGAGCTGTAGTTCCTTGCTCAATCCTGGCTGCAACCACGCCGAACTGGGCCGCGTCCGAGAACCACAACTCCCAGAAGGCAGCGCGCCCCCACGACGCCCACAGCTTCCCATCAAAAGAATTGGTCCAAAGCTGCACCTCGAAACCCCGGCTTCTCCTCTCCACTAGGCAACTATGTAAATCAACTGGATGGAGTGAGCTGTGCAACTCAGGAGTGAGAACCGTCTTACCCTCTCCGGTAGGCAAAGTCGCGTCGACGCGCGCCACCGCCATACTTGGCGCTTGCTAGTAATCCCCGGCAACCGTCCTCCAGCGGCTCCGCGGAGCGTGTAGTCTGAAGGAGAGAGCCGGAAACTACGACTCCCAGGATGCACGGCGCCCGGACTGCCCAATGGGCTCCCTACATCTACTGATGGGAAACCGGGGCTAGAGTGTGAGAGCTGATGAGCTCCGGGGCCCTAGTCAACAGCCTTGTTACAGAAAAGATAGACCTGCATTGTTACCTGATCTTTTCACGGCCTGCCCAGGTGTGTGCGAAAGTTCACACTTTCACGACAGGAAAGACCATAGGACGTTACTCAATACAGACGAAATTTGATTGCTTATTTCTAGAAGTCTGTACGGACCCTGCCCCTTGTTTTGACACTTCTAAATGAATTGAACGATTTCCATTCTGCTTTCTTGTTGTCAAATGGATACGTTTTATTTGAAGATTGCTACTTACAGAAGTAACAAACTATTGTATTTTATGTGGTTATTCTTGCATATTTAGAATTTTTGCCTTAAATTTAACTAATTTTATATGTACGTTAAACCCAATACCTCTGTCCAAACTGGGGAGTCTACTAATTAAAGCTGTGAACGCTGCAGCAAGATAGTATTTCTTTGGCAGGCCCAGACCTTACAAGACTTTGTTTTTTTTCCCTTCAGCACAGTTCACCCGATCCCTGTAACAGCCTATCGCCCTGGCCTGTCTACCCCATCTCTAGTTCACCCGCCACTGCTATTAGCATCCTCTGAGTAAAACAGTATCTCTTAGTGTGTTAATTCCCTCCCCCAAAATGTCCCACTTGAAATTCTGTTATCAAGAGCCACACTGATCTGACTTTCCCGACATCCGTTCCATTAGATTTTATTTGGTGTTTTTGAGTAAGGCATTGACATAATGAAACTTCCTTTTTAAAAAGGTTACATTGCTCGTATAACAAAGATAAACTTGAAGAATAGTGGCAAGAAGGACACCATCGAAATACTGGTGGTAGCTTCTAACATAACCGTTTCATGAAGCTAAAACACCAGGCAGATAAGAAACTGGAACATTTGCAAACACCCCAATTTACCTTGACAACATGACGATGGCCTTGAACTTCTATTTGAAAGTAAATATAATAACTTGGAGATTTTTTTAAGTTTTAAAATGAAAATGTTATTAATATAAAGAATTCTGAGCCTGTAAATATTGAGGAAATGTGCAATCTCAATTTTAAAATGTTTTTATATAAAGGTTTAGATATTTAAAATCCAATATTCCGGGGCCCGGCACAGTGGCCTAGCGGCCAAAGGCCTAGCCTTGAACGTGCCAGGATCCCATATGGGCACCGGTTCTAATCCCAGCAGCCCCATTTCCCATCCAACTCCCTGCTTGTAGCCTGGGAAGGCAGTTGAGGATGGCCCAAAGCTTTGGGACTCTGCACCTGTGTGGGAGACCCAGATGAAGCTCCTGGTTCCTGGCTTTGGATCTGCTCAGCTCCAGTCATTGTGGTCACCTGGAAAGTGAACCATCAGACAAAAGATCTTCCTCTTTGTCTCTCCTACTCTCCATATGTCTGACTTTGCAATAAAACATAAAATAATCATCTTCAAATATAAATAATAAAATCAACTATTCCTTGGTTAGTATCCATTGGTAGAATAATGGTCCTGTTTCCCTTTTCTTTCTTTCTTTCTTCTTTATTTTTACTGGAAAGACAGATTAACAGAGAGGAGGAGAGAAGAACGATCTTCCATTTTCTGGTTCGCTCCCCAAATGGTCACAACAGCCAGAGCTAAACCAATCTGAAGCCAAGAGCCAGGAACTTCCTCCCAGTCTCCCACATGGCTGCAGGGTCCCAAAGCTTTGGGCCATTCTCTACTGCTTTCCCAGACCACAGGCTGGGAGCTGGACGGGAAATGGGGCAGCTGGAACACAAACCGGTAACCACATGGGATTCTCGTGCACGCAAGGTGAGGATGTTAGCACTTTCTTATCTATGAACTATGACATGGAAGGAGAGATGGCCACCATAAAATATCTACTCACAGGTTATCTAGAAGCTCCCAGAGAACATTAATTTTACTCATTATTAGCTGTTACCATTATTAAACTCCTGTTATGTCCTAGGTTTTGTGATTACATATATTAAGTCAAAAATTTTTAAATGAATTTCATGAGACCACCTAAGTCTTTTTTTTTTTTTAAGATTTTTTTTTTATTGGAAAGTCAGATATACAGAGAGCAAGAGAGACAGAAAAGAAGATCTTCCGTCCGTTTGATTCACTCCCCAAGTGGACACAATGGCCAGAGCCAAGCCAATATGAAGCCAGGGGCCTCTTCCGGGTCTCCCACGCAGGTGCAGGGTCCCAAGGCTTTGGACCATCCTCGGCTGCTTTCCCAGGCCACAAGCAAGGAAAGCAGGGATGGAAAGCAGGGCTGCCAGGAATAGAACCAGTGCCCATATGGGATACCAGCATGTTCAAGGCGAGGACTTTAGCCACTAGACTACCGCACTTGAGCCTTCAAGTCTTTTTGTAAAGATTTGTTTATCCATTTATTTGAACAACAGATTTAATGAGAGACAGACAAGAAATCTTCCCAAATGGGCACAACAGCCAGGGTAGGGCAAGGTTGAAGCCAGAAGCAAGGCATTCCTTAGGCTCTTGCACTTGGATAGCAAGGGATCAAGGAGTTTCGTCATCTTCTACTGCCTTCCTAGGCACATTAATCAAAGACTGGATCAGAATTGGAACTCAAATTGGTGCCCATATGTGATGCTGGCACTGCAGGGTCCAATTTTTCAGTATTCCCATTCCTACAAGTAGATGTCATTAATTTCTGTTGTAATTGCGAGATGAATACACTTAGTGAAATTTGAATTTCAGATCAACAATGGATAATATTTAGTGAATGTGTATATCTTGAAATATAATTGTGTGGGCCCAGCGTGGTAGCCTAGTGGTTAAAGTCCTTGCCTCACATGCTCTGGGGTCACATATGGGCGCCGGTTCTAATTCTGGCAGCCCCGCTTCCCATCCAGCTCCTTGCTTATGGCCTGGGAAAGCAGTCGAAGATGGTCCAAAGCCTTGGGACCCTGAACTTTCATGGGAGACCTGGAAGGAGTTCCTGGCTCTTGGCTTTGGATTCATGCAACACCAGCCATGGCAGTCACTTGGGGAGTGAATCATTGGACAAAATATCTCCTCCTCTCCGTATATCTGACTTTGCAATAAAAATAAATAATTAGATATATATATGATATATATGTCTTGCAATATATGTCTCATGCAATATTTAGGACAAGCATACTAAAAAGACATTTCTTAAGTAGAAATTCAAACTTAACTTGGTGTCATATTTTTATTTTCATTTTACTTGTATTGTGACTTTCTTGCAACTTAACAAGAGGTAACCTATCAAGGACAGAGAGATTTTAGAATCCACGTGCAACCAAAATTGAATCAGAAAAGGTGTTAGCTGCATATATATATTTCGTTATACTTGAATGAATGTGTAGGCACATTCATATGTTTGGAAAGGATTCTTATATGATCCACAAGAAACTATTTACTATAGTTGAGGAGAATCTCGTTAATGAATATTCACATAACTTTCTAGTCATATGAATGGATTATATATTCAATGTATTCCATTGTAAAAGAATGTAGGACTTGTGTTTAGCCTAATGGTTAGGATTCTGGTTCAGAATTCATATCTCATATCAGAGCACCTGAGTTTTATACCAGTCTACCTCCTGATTCAGCTTGCTGCTAATGTAGGATCCTGGGAGGCCGTGATGACGGCTTGAATGACTGGGTCCCTGCCACCCCCATGGAAGACCTGAATTGAATTTCTGGCTCCTGACTTTACCTCAGCCAAGCCCCTGCTCTTACAAGCTTTTGTAGAGTGAACTGTTTCTGTTTGTATCTTTCTGTCTGTCTCTCTGCTTCCTGGATGCTCCCACTACTGATTCAGCTCCATGCTAACAGCCTGCGAAAAGCAAGTGGCCCAGGGTTTTGGGCACCTACCACTCCCACGGGAAACCTGAAAGAGCACCTGATTCCTGGTTTCAGCCTGGCCCAGCTCCGGCCATTGTGGCCATCTGAGCTAATGGAGTGTGTGTGTCCCTCTTTCTGTGTTACTCTTTCAAGTAAATAAACAAATCATTTACAAAGGAGAAAGAATAAGAGTGGTTGTGGCACCATTGAATAAGTGCCTCCACTATTCATATAGAGGTGCAACTGCTTGCCCACAATTCTCCACATTAAGATTTCAGGAGGGTGGACATAACACTCTTAAAGCACCAATCCTAAACCAAATGCGAAGTCAGGATCAAACTGATGAATACAAAAAGAGCCAGCCATCTCCAGACAATATTCTGACATATTGATTTCATTTTCCCCTGTATAAGCTGTAGGAAACAGAAGGGGTGAGAGACAGATATTTAGCTTAGTGGCAAAGATAACCACGTCCCATTTGTGAGTACCTGGGTCAGTATTTGCTTTGCTCTTGACTGCATCATGCTGATACAGATCCTGTGAGGTAGAGGTTCATGTCGCATACATAGGAGCCTTGAAGTGCCTTCTTGGTTCCTGGAATCAGCCCCAGCCATGCCCAGCTGTTGTAGCCATTTGGAGAGGGAATTAGTGGATTGAGCTTTCTCTGTCCCTCTCTTTCTGCCTCCCAGTAAGTAATGTAAAAGTGAATTTGGGACACTGAGTTCTGCTCTCCCAGTATCCAGGTCCTTCCCATATATGCTCACACAGGTGTGGAAGAAGCAGTGAACATGGACTTAGGGGCAAGTGTCGTAATTACAGTGCAGAAAGAATTCTAGAGAAAGCCAGGGTGGTATGGAAGGTAGCTAAAGAATATGGGCAGCACGGTCTAGGCTTGGAGGAGGAATCAGCAAGTCTAGAGTTAGGGACTGGGCTTCAGCCTCTTTCCTGAGTGAAGGGGGGAAAGCCTCTAACTAACAAACTTCAGATGCAGCCCTTCCAGACAGGCTAACAGACTGAGCAGAAGTCAAGGTTTATTCATGCATAAC